TAGCCCTTCCGCCATTAGCTCGATCAGTGCCATCCTTAATGAACTGAACAAGATGCCCTACCTAGGCCAACTCTTCCAAATGTTATTTCAACGACCAACAATTTTCAATCATATGCCCCACATCCCGATTATAGGAGCATCTGAAATTAGGGTTCCTCTTCAAAGGGTCTCCTATGAGCTTATTAGGCCACTTGAAATATAGCTTCCCCTTAATCTGAGTCAATATTTTATATATTGGCTCTTTGAACATTGTGTTTACCCCTACAAAATGGGATTTCGAGGGGAACCCCTCTTTGTCTTTCTTCCTCCCAATATCTCTGTTTGACTCAACTTGTTTTTCTCGGCTAAATGGCTTTCTACCTGTCTGTTCCTTTTCTACGTCTCTGGACAGGTCATCGTCGACTTTGGCATACTTCTCAATTCTCGCCCTTAACTCCTCCATGTCTACGACAAGTCTCTAGTAAGGGATTGATACAAGGGGTTCTCTTTTGGCAATCCAATTTTGAAGGAAGCTACGACAATCTCTAGGTTACAAGTTTCAATTTTTTTCATCGTTTTTCCAGTAACGGTGAGCGTATTCTCTTAAAGTTTCAATACTTCTTTTCTTCAGTGTTAGCAGTGCCCAACATCTTTGGGTTGTCTGCTGCTTGTGATGAACCGAGCTGTGAATTACTCGGCTAGTTGTGTCCATCCATCTATTAAGCCCTTCAGCAGACTGTCGAACCGTTTCATGGTTGACTCCTCAAGGCTGCTGGGGAAAATGGTACAGAGCAACGACTCATTCTTCCGATGAATGGTCATAAGTTGTTGGTAATTCCAGATGTGGGAGGTCAGATCTTTCTTCCCGTCATATAATTTAAAGCTTGAGACTGTGAATTTACTTGAGACCTGTCCTCTCTCGATCCAGCTAGTGAAGGGGGAGGACTCCACATCGTCTCCGTATTCCCCGGTGGCTCTTCGGGCTAGATCCCTAGCTGATTTTTGCTCTGGTCATCTTAGTCGGCTATCGAGATCTTCAGTTATGAATTGCTTCCAGGAGTCCTCATCCCGGCCCCAATATCTTTGTTGTTTATGTTCCATTTCCTCGGTATCTTCTCTTTTACTTCACTTCTTTTTAGGACTCTCCCATCGGTTTTCCTTGCAACGTTTGTCCCTCTTGGTCATTCTCTTTAATCTAGCTTTCAATTCTTCGATTTCTTTCATCAACTCTCTTTCCCTAGTGTAGGATTTCTTGAACAATTTGTCATGTGCGTCGAGTCGGTCTTGGAGGGACTAAACCAACTTTTCCAGAGCGGGGTTCTCCCCCTCGCTATAGAGGGATTTGCCCCAGTCGGCATCTTGTAAACTCTGTTGTTTATATGACTTAAAACTTGTTGAGGACAATTCATCATCCTCCAGTGACTTGGCTGGGCATTTGTTCATATCCACCCTAATTTCACTATCGGATGGAAGTGACACTCTGTAGTTTGGATCAGAATCCTCTAAGGCCAAACTACCTATAGGTGAGCCGATGATACTTTTTTGTCTTGGCATTGGCTTTTTGTTTCGCTTGATGAAAATCTTCCCATAGACACACCAAAATATAAGGGGCAAAAACAGGTATACCTCTTACAAGAGTGAAAGATTGATATTTTTGGTAAGAGTGAGCTCTGAACTTAATTTTCCTGTCTTTCCTTCTTGCAAAACAAACAAACTTCCCAAGATTGAAGTGCTTCGATCAAAGGTACTTTGATACTTAAGTCAGTAATGGAACTGGGTGAATTGCAAAAAAACAAGGAGAGTTCAGCGTACTTTTCATCTTGGCTCCTTATGTCTTTTATAGAGCTCTGCTTAGTTAGGGTTTCCATCATTTTTTATTCAATGTGATACACTTTCCTTCAATCATGCAACTATATTTAGAAAGTTGTTGAAATCTCTCCAGCAATTCCTTCTACCAAGTCTATGATCATGCCCATTCGTTTGACCAGAATGCCTAAATTATAGGCATCTTTTTAACATCTCATTTACTGTTTGAAACAGCTCGGTCATGATGAGGACCGAGTTCGTTCCCTCTTTCCCGATCTTTCTGAACAACTCAGCTACAGTTTGATGACTGAGTGATGTCTTTCTTACATGGTTGATCTTGTCACCCTCACGTGAGATCATTTAATGTGAATACACGTGTCATAAAAGGAGCAACCCCCTTCAGTAAGTAATTATATTGGTAAGCAATTATTGGGGGTTTCGGGCTATGAGATAAGCCATCTTGCATCATCGGTTGGCTAAGGGGTAAATGAAAATGATTATTTTTTTTAAAGAAACGATGAGGGTAGGCATGATAAAATTCGAAGCCAGATGCCTCCATACATCACAATTTTCAAAAAAAAAAAAATACGTATTGTTAGTTCAAGAACAATTTTATTATTAATACATCCAATCATTAAAACTTCAAAAAAATCAAATTTCTCGGATTCATTAAGAATATATGCTATAATAGCACCCAACGGAGTAATGGCCACATCATCGTCTTTAATAACATTCATAACCATGGCAGCATCTCCTTCCAAAATAATTTCATCCAACTCTAGTAGAAAAGCAAAGTGGACAATTTATTTCTGTATTTAATCATATTTTTAATTGCTCATACTCTTGTTATAGTGCGAGGCTTGAAAGTATTCAAAATTAGACAAGAAAATATTATTTTTCAATTGTTACTTGTTGGGTTAGGGTATAGACAATCGCTATTAAAATGATAGGAAAACAAAAGTTGATTGTATAAAAAGAAGGAAAAAAATTACTTACAAAAAGGATAATTACCATTTCAAACTCTTAAGATATTGACAACTTAACTTGATTCTCCAAAGATTATAACTATATATTAATTTCATTTAAAGATAATTAAAATTTAATGTGAGTTTTAATTTTTCAAGAATCAAAGTGAAATTTTTAAATCTTTAGAGCGTAGGATGCCATAACCCTTACATAAAAAAATTATTTTTTGGACAAAATATCTTTGTTTATCTATGTATTTTATATTTTTTGTGTTGTTTTCTTTTCTAGTAATAAGTTATTCGGGCTTTCTAGTATTGATGGTTAACTAATGGCCGCAAGTCATAGTGGTTTGGGTAGATGGATGGGTCCATCTGATGAAGTTTCCTAGTTTGTGGGGTCCGGCCACACACACACACACATATTATAAGGTGTTCAGGTTTGTGTCGATTATTTACTCAAACTCTGATTATTGTGGCTTAAGCAAGTCTAGAGCACGTTCCCCAAAAGGACAAGGATGACTAGTCATTAGGTAGAGTTGAAAGCGATTAAACTTGAGAAATTTGAATTACTAAATGACAGATTCAACTACTAAACCATCCTTAAAAGGTTTAAATAAAAATATATGGTTCAACACTTTTTTTTTTTTTTTGAATTATTAGATTTAGTGTACAAATTTGAAAAAGGAGAGATTTTAGTAGGAAAAAATTGGCAATAGGTTAACGATATTGTCAAATATTAGAAAAATAATAGAGAAATTGTTTCAAATATCAGTTGAAATTGAGAAATATCAGTTGAAATTGAGCAAATATCAGTTGAAATTGAGAGAAATTGGGTCAAATGGCGGAAAACATTTCACTAGCTCGATTGTCCATATTCCACAAAAAGCCTTGATTATGTTTTAACTACCATAATATGATCCTACAGCACAAGCTCCAATTATCCCCCAAACACTCCTCTATTTTCTTTCACTTGTTCAGTTTCCTGTTCTATTTACTTTCCCACTTTGTAATCAAAATACACTCGTTTTGAGCGACTCTCTTCATAATGAGGAAGAGAAAATACAATTTTTCGTAATGTAGATGCATTTGGGACGATTTCTGTATTCACTTTCATAGCCTTGGTCTCATAACAATATTTGGTATCCTGCTCTAATTTTTACATACATATGTCAGACTAAGACAGTCTTTTTATGGAAGAATTCCATGGCCATATGAGAACCACGAATTTCACACTACCCTTGTCTAAAATCTCTAACCAGGTGCACTTTCAACTTCAATTTGTAAACTACAATTCATGTGCACTATTAAATTGTACCTGCACTTTAGATTACTTTACCAAAGCCAAGTTCTACAGCAATCCAAATGTACCTGCTATAGAAGGTGTCTGTTTCGGCAGGACTGAAAAGACAGTCCATTGAACGACACTTCAATCATTGCATCATCTAAAGAGAGTCAGATGTACACAATCTCACTCTTGAATGCCAAAAAAGTTGTTTCCGCAAAGCTAACCAGCTAGATTAAATTGGAAAATTTCTTTTGGCTGAGTAGAGAATTGATACTTAAAAGTAGAGAACAAGGATAGTTGAACTCCTGCTTGAAGACTGGGGTAAGTTGGATAGCAACTTGACACAGAAAGCTGGCAGTAGATTGAATGGCAAAATGGCCTTTCTGCCTCTACAACTTCAGTTCATTTGATTACCTATAAGCAATCATCTACTATGAACACAATGAGATTAGCCACAACTCACTGTGAAACTGCTATAAAGAAAAGGACAAGTATGTGCATTCAGTAAATTCTCTCATTTAGCCGAGACAGATCTGAAAATCAGCGTAAAGAATCGGTTTGTTTCTTGATACATAACCTGTGAATAGTCACAAAGATTACATACTGTTTCCATTACTTGAACCACGTCTTAATTCACACCAAAAAAAAATTGACATAAAAAAAAGTTGACAAGAAATGAGACTCCTGCTTGACATTAGGAACAACTAAGCAGGTTTAAAAAAAAAATCAACAGTACCAAAAACATTATTATCACCTTCAACGATGTAAATAATCAGCAATCGAAAGCCCTCCTCGCCAATTATTGAACAAATAATTTCATCCAAGCTCCTACACTTATACAAACATATGATATACATCTGTCTACCCTTAAATACCTCCCTGATATCAGAAACCAAAATGAACTACAACACGATGATTTTCTTCCTTGCGCCTCCAGTAAAAGAATAGATTCTTTTGTGCAGTGTTTATAGAAGGCCCGCATATGGGTTGTAGGCTTGAGCAGGCATACCTGAGCCATAGGGGTGGACATTGGCTCCATACTGATTGCCAAATGGATTTGCAGGCTGTTGTTGTGGGCCCATCATCATCATCTGCTGCTGCTGCTGCAACATGAAAGCCTGCTGCTGGTGGGCCATGGCTGCCATCTGCACCGAAGGTGGTGCAACGATGGTGCTTGAGGCGTAAAATGGGTCGTGTGCTGTTTGTGGCATCATGGGACCGACCATTGCACCTTGTTCCCATGGATTGTAGCTCACGCTCTGGTTGCTTCTTCTGATTGCGTCATCATATAGACTGTCTAGTGTGAGTTTGTCCAGCCCTCCAGCCTTTTTTTTTTTTTTTTTCAAAGTTTGAAGCATCAGTACAAAGTACGACTCATTAAGAACTTTTTCTACCCTCACAAACGAGCTTGTTTACATGTGTGTGCCCACATGTGTATTGTATATCTATTTACAAACAAAGAGGAGAGATAGAAGCTATCTATCCCCATTTGAAATCACCAAATATGGAAGGTATAATTTTATGACAATCATGACATCCTAAAATCTAATAAATCATTAAAAGGGAAAGATATAGACCAGAACCCTATATGGAAAAATAGCATAGCACAAAATAATACCAGTCTGCTAGCAGTTGCCGCGCTCTCATTGGAGCTAGGAGCAGAAACAAGTGCCAATTCCCAGCCCGTAGTTCCATTTTCCAGAATTGCACCAGTAGAGGTTGGTTGGTCAGTCGTGCCTACAAAAGCCATACAAAATTACATTAAAGCTGTTTACCGGGAAATGATATTGAATTCGAATAGGAGCATAGTCAAATGGACAAATCAAATACTAAGCCCTCAAATTTATACGGGTTCCTGAAGTCAACACAATAATATTATTGAAAGGCATAAAGTTCAAGCTACTCAAAACAAAGTTAGCAGGATTGATCAGAAGAGTTTTCACGACCAAATTAACTTCCAACTTACTGTTCCATATGATTAGATTATAAATCGAACTTACCAACTGGTACAATAGCCAGAGCCATTGCATTCTTTTCATCCAACTCTGAAGCCTGTGGACTAGGATCATTAAGGCCCTAGCAACAAGGAAGCACATCAGTTTGAGAAGGCTACAAATACTCCACCAAACATCAAATTTGTGGAAAAACATTAAGTTAATACAACGACCAAAGAAATATTCTGAGAATTACCAACAGGTCAGGTGTCGCAGCTACAGGAGCTTCCACTTTAACTGGTTCTGGACCTGGTTCTGGTTTAGGTGGTGGGGATGGGGGGCGTGCCTCCTGTACCTCTGGGTTTTTCTTGTTCTCTATGGCCAAGATTACTTTGGGTTTATCATCAATTGCCTGATTCATTGAATAAAGGGAAGCTAAAATATTAAATGGAATTATATAAGTATCATGTAAAATCCCAAGCAATCTAGAATTTTGAACGATATTACTAAAGAGGTTTAACATGGATATTGCAATAACAGGTCAAAGCTTTTATAAATGTAACATATTATAAAACTAAAAAAGTTCTGAAAATGTTCATTTTCAGATATATAGATGGTAAGATGAACAAGGGGACTTTATCCAGTGCAAACACTTAAATAGCTAAACTCAGTCAGTAATCTGAGCTAGATCTATGGACCAACTTACCTTCATTCCACCGGAGAAAAAAAAAAACTAAATATCACAAGATGTGTCATAAAACTATAAGTAGGATTCATCATTATCATTTATGAACTATTTGGGAGTTAATAGTGCCTTATTGTGTGAGAAAGCCGAGATCTTTGTCCTATGAGTTCAGATATTACATCTATGCCTATATCTATAATACTAAAAAAAAATCACTTAGCTTGAAAAAGTTTTGATTGATCAATATACCCTTATGAAAATAGTTAATGACATTCAATAACTTAAAAAGACAAATGTTCGTTCATAGAGATAGAGTTTACGTAACACCATTACTACCATAATACCATTAAATAACTCCAAACAAAAAATAGCCCTTCATTTACCTACAACACACAAACACCCAGAGTACACATGCTAAATTTAGCCATATGAAAATAATAAATAATGAATGATAAATAATTCAAAAGTTGTAATGTCAAGACGTTTTTCAAACTCGAGTCAATATGTTACCCTTAGACTATACATTAACACAACCCTATCATTCCAAATTATAATATGGATCATTAATTTCTTTGTTTTTCTCTTATTAATAGACTTGTCTTAAATAACCATTTGAATTATATAACATGGTATTGCTAATAAAGATATAAAATTATGGAATTTCATTTAACTGAATTATATATACATTCGTGTACATATTTTCATATTTTTCTATAGATCATTTGAAATTTACTTTACCTAAATTTGGTAGCGTGCAATGTGTATGGTTTTACTAGTAATATTTTAAAGGCTGCATCCACAAGCTAAATTTCGGAAACTCAATTAAACTCATCAAAACTTGTTCCCCAAAACCACACATCATGGACAATTTAAAATGTCTCCTGATAAGCAGTTGTGTTATAGGCTGATATATCTACTCTTTTGCTTTTCTTTTTGTCACATACAGCATTTTATACATTGCTCCCAGTCCAAGATTTAAACAAGTTTAACATGGGCTTTCATACCAAATCCTTGCGAACCGTGGAAGCTCGAGGCGCCTCTCTCACATACTCTTCCATTGCTTGTAGAAATGATGCAGGGGGCTTCATTACGAATCAATAAATAGACAAATTGAGTTATTTGAGATTTTCAAAAAGATATTCAGAAGAAATCAATTATTTTCCAAAAGGTAACAAAAGAAAATCCAAACCTGCTCAATCTTGATAAACCTTTCCCCGCGTCCCACATCGAGGCCTTTACATATTTCATAGAACTCTGATAGTCTCTCAGCCTGAAAATGTGGAGAAAAATTAAGAAATATAAACGGAAATATGCCAAAAAAGACAGAATTATTTCCCCCCATCTAAAAAATATTCTCAATGAATATAAGGAAATTTTTACTGAAGATAATACCTGCTGTCCAGCCCTTCGGTATATATCCAGAGCCTTAATAGCATCATTGCGTTGCATCTCAAAGAACTGTCAAAAATAGAGGTTAGCATATGTCTGTGGTCTGCTCTGTAACCAAAGTCCACTTTAAATAGACAATCACAGCCAACCTTGTCAACTAAATTAACTGCACCATCACTTATAGCATTGTAAATTTTAATGCTTTCCAAAGCAACCTATACAAAACAATAATGGACAATCAAAACAAGATAATGTTACATGAAAGTCACTTATATGAAATCATGATCGTGCAAATAATGAAGATCTTCACTAACCATTGAAAGTGCTAATTGAATCACAAAATTATGAACTGCTGCTCCTTGTGGCTGCAATCAACAAGGGGTATAAAAAAATAAAATGAGATATTAATTCCATGGTACAAGCTGCAAGATTATGAAACCATTTGCCTTTGAAAAGAAGACAACATTTACTGGATTAACCACCTAATATAGAACTAAGCAATTCATAAAAGTTACCAGGCAGCCAAGAACGCGAAATAGGAGGTCTTGCAAAGAAGGTAGCTGCTCAAGCAACTCAGGAGTGTCCAGATCTTTGGTTCTCTGCGCCACAATTTCCATTTTAGGGTTGTCTACAGGAAAAACTACTATAACCCCCCCCCCCCCCCAAAAAAAAAAAAAAAACACTACTAACTGCATAAGAAATTGTGTTAGTATATATCACAAATTAGCTATTTCTTTGTAATCACTGGTTAATGGGATGAAGAAGGATGGCAAAGAAGTTAGTTTCAGGGGTCCCTCACTTATAAAAAATAAGGCCCCAAAATTAAGCTTTTTGATAAGGAGGGGAAAAGTAAGTGACTGAAAAAAGCTTTAACGAAAAAAATAAAGAATGCAAAAGCGACAAATTTTGAGCCTGGAAAATTGTTAACGACTGAATGCATACAATTCCCCAATTTACAGTATGTCACAACTGAATAAGAAGAATATCATGCTAGCACTTCTAGCTACCAAATGATATAATTACAAGAAAATATGCATTCAAACAATTCCCCATCTAAAGTTAGTTCAACATAGAAAGTACATATGTTGGCCTTTCACATGCATTAAAATGCATGAGTTCAGTGTATATTTTGGACACCAAAAGCAGCTCTACCCAGAATAAGCTTAAACCTTCAAAATAGAAAATATACTAAACAAGAATGCAAAGATCCCATATTCCAGTGAATTTATAGAAAAGCAATAGCATGCTACAGAAGGTATAGATAGTTTTCTTACAGGGCGATCTGCCTCAACATCATATTTCAGCACACGAAAACATTCCAGCCTCTCCTCCAAAAATAACGCATAAGTGCGCACCCATGCAGAGTAATCCCATGCTGTGCAGCATATTAGAACACATTCATCACCAAAGAACTCAACTTTTCTAAATTCAAGTGTAGTCACAAGGAAAATAGATGACATACCATTTGGACTGGAATCATCCTTGAAGTGAGCCAAGTTGAGGATATGGCTTCTGCTCCTGCCATAGTTGATAAGTTCTTCTTGGAATGTTGGGTCCACTTCCCTCAAAGCACGATGAATAACAATCAAAGTTTTCAAGGCAACCTGACCATCAAACACACCTCAACAATAAAGTACACATCCAACAATCACCTACTTATCAAGAATAGGCAAGTATCCAGTCAACCTGACGAGTAACTAAGATAATACAATCAATCACAGCCATCACCAATCTGAAGTATCTTTCACTAACATCCATCATAGTGATGTCAGAAACTAAAAAGTCCCACAATAAACCAGATGGCAAAGAGGTTTTACTGAAATGGTAGATGACAGAGTGTAAATTTAGAACCATCCAGGACTTGGATACACCATAACACTAGAACATTATGTATTCATATTTATATGTTGGTCATTATCAGCAATATGACATAGGAATTAATACCTATTCCATGAGAGTATTTATATGAATGTACACTATTACTAGAAGTAACTTGATTTTGAGAAGAGAACTTGATTTTAGGAATGTACTAAATTTTAGGAAGGAGCTTAGTTTTGGGTTTTTATTCCTTTTTAGAATTAATCAAGTCAGATATTACCACCATTGACCATGGATTCAGGTTCCAACCATCATGGAAATTTGACCGCGTTATTGATATTATTCCCGAATTCAATTACCGATCCGTTGACCATCCAAATATGTAATCCAGGGATCTAGGAATGCAATTCTCACCAAACCAAGTTACTGCCATCCCATTGGGAATTATAGTATTCATTCTCATGCTTCATGTTAGCCACTCCACCGTTTGATATTTCCTCCACTGATACCAAAGCAAGCATCTTGGTAGGAAATTGGATTTATCTTGACTCTTGAGGCCAACCTTTCTTAACTTTTAGCAAGTGTTTATCAGCTGCCAAATTTAATGAGGGACAATTTAAGCCAATGAAGGCCTCAAACAATTTGTGTAGAGTAGGCAATTTCAACGCACATTCAATATAGTTACCTCTAGCTTCTTCAGAAGAGAAAATAAAGAAAGTAACCATTGTCAGCAATAAAACAATATGTGAAGTTCTACTTCAGCTTCTCTCCACTGTATCTCAATCACTCAAAAATTTATAACATAATTCAGCTAATAAATACTCAAGAGCTCCTAGAAATCTCATTAACATTGTCTGATTTCCTGGATTCAAACCTGAATGTTGACACAAACAGCAGCTTCAACGAAACATACAGCATGCATTAATGTTTACTTATATTCAGTGATAAAGAATTAATCAACCAACAGAGTTATCACATAATAAACATTATAAGCTTGAGTGCCTACTGCCCAATTATGTGTCTTTGCCAATCGTCTTGCAAGAGCATGTATGCAGTAAGCAACATCAGCTCGAGGTCTTGTAGCAGACACAGCTGCAAAAATAGCTGCAACAAGAAATACAAAAGAACTGCTTCAGATCCCTAGCTTTACGCAGAATTTAATATACAAGCACAATAGAGGTAAAGTGACAAAATAGAGGACATGCCACCACACAAAAAATTTGCATGTCACTGACCTCTTATGTACTTCTCTTTTGCCAGACGCTCAACATGATTTGTCGCCTTAACAATAGCAATGTCCATTCCTACAAAAAAAAACCCAAATAGAAATAACAAAATCATCTCTATGCAACAAACATAAGAAAATAAAACCATCAACAGAATTTAATTTATTC